CCTGAAAATTTGCAAGTATACTACAACATCGCCTGAAAGTAACATAGGCTATAAAAATTCTTGAAATTCCACTTGGAACTGGAGATATAGCATTAGAATCGGAGGTACCTCCCAAAAATTTAGATTTTATATGCACATATCTATTGATCGATTACAGATACAGTCTCCAAATTTGGTATGCCTGATTGAATTTGAAACAAAAATAAATTTTCCAAATTATTTTGAAATCGCTTCAGATTCGGATATACCTCCCATATATATTTTCAGCAGATTTCATGTATTTGATGCTTTAAACCCGCTGTGTACGCCACATTTCAGTGAAATTTGGAAAGCGTATTGGAATTTGTCTAGAAATTTAGTTTGCCAAATTATATTGAAATCGGTATAGATTTGAATATAGCTCCCATACATATATTCGACAGATTTCGTTTATTTGCTGCAGGAAACAAGATATGTATGTTCGATTCTAATAAAATTTGGAATGTGTGACGGGATTTTGATCGGAAAATAAATTTTTCAAATTATATTTTCGAGGATTTTACATATTTGATGCATCCAACGCGATAAGTATCCGATTCCAAAGAAATTTGGACAGAGAGACGAAATCTGGTACCAAAAAAATTGTCAAATTATATTGAAATTGGTTGAGGTTTCGGTATAGCTCCCATATATATTTGTCGGCCGATTTCATGTATGTTATGCACCAAGCACGATATATAATGGATTCCAATGAAATTAAGAATGTGTGGCGGAATTTGGTTACAATAATAAATTAATATATTTTCACGTATTTTACGTACCAATATCAATGAAACATGGAAGGTGTGACGTGTGTAAAAGTAAATTTTTTCAAATTATATTGAATTAAGAAATATTGGTAGATAAAATTTTGAATGCATATAAAATCAAAAGGGGTAGTATAAGTATAAGCTAGTATAAGATAAAATAAAATTAATTATTTTGTATTTTAAAACATAGCAGGATGTGCGATTTCACGTCTTACTTTATTGAGTTAAAATGGACACAAAATAGTTTAATTATTTTATTCATAATCTAAACTTATATTTGCTGTATTCCCTTTACACGTGTTGTTTATTCGGCATTTCTCACAGTGAAATCCAATACGCGTCGTTGGCCTATTAAATTCATTTATGAGAATACATTCTTCCAAACGTTCACATGCCAACTAAGCAGATCATGTTACAATATGAGGTGATGTCTGGACAGTGGTCCAAAGAAATATATTTGATTTTAACTCTTACCCCTTTAAATTTCATACGTCCCGTATGAACATTAGTTTTCACAGGAGTTTTCTTCAGAAAAACGGGATGTTATTTAAACTTGTAAATCTTGTATTCCTTTTTGAAGGTGTTGGCTTGTCTTCGATATCGATTTGCACTTCATCATTTTCTGTATTGCTTGCATCATTTCTATTTCTATATGGACGTATCAGGATGAACAAAATTAATATTACGAGTGTCAAACCAAGAGCCACGTTAATCCAAATGTTTATGTGTTTGTCAAGCTTTAGAGATTCAATGGTTTTAATGTTATCGCTCGTGAGTGTTTTCATAATTTCCAAAGATAAGGTCTCTTCTTGAAAGTGGGATTCGTCAATTTGCAGCAGCGCTGGCAAAGGTTTTGATTTTGCAATCTGTGTGGTTAGAAAAGATCTTGCATCAATGTTGAGGCTTGTATTCGAGTGATGAATGAGGAAGGTGCCGTTTAGGGAAATCGGCCATTATTTCTCCATTAAACTGATTAAGGAACAACAATCCGTCTTATATTTCCTCAACCGAGGTTATATTTTCATTGTTTGTTACCAAGCATGATGATGATTTTCTAGTTATTAATTTGGGAATAATTATATCATTAAAGTTACAAATAATTATATTGTCAAAATTATTACAATTAGTTTTTACACCGTATATTTGTTTATTACAAATTAAAATGATACTGAATATTTATTTTATAAATATTGTTTTGAAATTTTACAGGTTATGAAATTTTACAGGTCTGGACAGTGGTTCAAAGAAATATATTTGATGTTATAACTTATAATATGGAAAGCTTGTTGCCTAACCTTCTATTCTTTTTACCGAGAATTTTTTTCATTTATAGAAAAGTCTCATAACTTCTGTCTTTATTATGGGTTATCAATTCCTTGTCCTGCGCTGTTTTAAGACGCGCTAAAGAGTGCAGTTATATATTTCTTCTATTCTAATATAATCCTCCTCGGAAAAGGCGGATTCATGTAAACCGTCTGATAGGTTTCAAATTTAGGTTTTGTAAGTATTACTTGGTTACTTCTGCCCTAACAAGTTTGTTAAAAAATGATATCCCTATTCTCTTCTTCCATCGGTTGATGATTCAAATGGTTCTGTTACTTTTGAAGATCCTTCCGTTATTTTTCCTGCTATCTCTTCTCTTATAAGTGAAAATAGTCCTCGGCGTTGCTTTTGTTTTTGATGATGGTTGGCATTGCCTGTTTTCAGCTTTAATGATATTTTTTTTAATATTTTTAGTTATTTTGTTGCTTTGTTTTCGTTGCTTTTAGGTTTTTTTATTTTGATTTTTTATTTTCTTTGGTTTTTATGATGTTATTCGCCAAACATTTATTTCCCTTCTGTCTCCATTTTCTGTTGAATATTATTTTTTCTACAATTTATTATTGCATTACAGGATTATAAATATTCTCTTCCATGAAGGATGTCATAATTTTCTGTGAAATTATGTAATTAACATTTTCGTTGAGTCGGACAAAATCTTGAAATTTATACTCTTGCAAAGAGTTATGATACCATTTATTGTTGATACTTTCAAATTTTCTTTAAAAGTAAGAAACATGAAAAATTTATTTTTCATCAAATTTATTGATTTTCCTGTATCTATGTGGCAACTTAGGGCCTTAGCCTTTCTTTGCCTCCTCGTTTTCTGATGCATCTAAAAATGTTCATCCGCATCCATTCTGAATTACCCACTAGTAGAGTTCTTTGTGTTTTTAAAGGAAGATAATGTGCTTTGTGTTGCATGTTCTGTTGGTGGTTTAAGGGATTTTTCTTCGACCCTGATTAATAATTCAATCTATTTGGTTTATTTGAATTACTTATGTAGATCTTTTGATTCCTATCCTATTCCTTGGGCGATATGAAAGTTTCGTAAAGGCCATTTCTGTATACTAAGTGCTTAATATTACATAGGATTATTTTTCTGAATTTCACAAGGTTAGTGGTGGCCAAGTTGGTCACTGGGTGAGTTCTTCTTGGTCTTCACAAAGTTAAAACTTTTGAAATAACCGGCCACTAAGTTCTTGCTCTGGCACAAGTGATCCATTTTTTTGCATGCGTCAAATGTTACCTCGCGGAAAAATGTTTTATGAATATGCAACAATAATCTAATTTGTACTGTTGATATCATTGCGCGGTCAAATTTTCACTCGCGCAAAGTACTCTTGCGGATACAAAACAATTCGTGGTTGCACTGTTAATATCCCTGAGTGGGCTGAATTTTTTGCACTTTTGTTATCCTACCGACTGCGTCAATTATGTGTGCCAAAGCAAAATCGTCTTCGACAGCGTGACTAAGACTGCCCGTTCATCTTCATTCATATTCCCATCAGAACTCCCAATCGATCACATTGCATTCATTTGGTGTCGTGGGAAGTTCATTTTCAAGGAAAGGTGTAATTAGACCGGATGCGTGTGCAGTGCTTGGTCAGCGGTTTGAGTTGGGCGTGTTTAAAGGTGAGTTGAACTTTTTGTTTGATTGACTGCATGAGAACCTGTATTATTCTATTCTGTATTTTTCGAAGGACCAATGAAAATGAGAGCGGAATCCAACCTGCCTCCTCGATTGTCAATTCTATTCTCGATAAGTCTCGACTGGAGCAATGTAATGTTAGAAAAGAATACAACCGCTTTGTTTGGGTGTACATTGAATTCTGGTTTTTATTTTAAAATATGTTCTTTAAGTTTACTGAAACTAATATAATTTAACCCAACTGAGTACACTCTCAGTAATATTTTTGACCGTTGAATTATCACCTTTCTACACGCAAAAAAATATAAGCCTCTCTAACATATTTCCCAAACATATTTTGCAGCAAACAAATATATGTTTGCAAACATTCCCAAACATAACATATGTTTGGGTGCTGCAAACAAATTATGTTTGGGTCCAAACATAATTAATGTTTGGGTCCAAACATAATTAATGTTTGGGTCCAAACATAATTAATGTTTGGGTCCAAACATATTTAATGTTTGGGTCCAAACATAATTAATGTTTGGGTCCAAACATAATTAATGTTTGGGTCCAAACATATTTTTTGTTCGGGTGCAAACATAATTTATGTTTGGACCCAAACATAATATATATTGGGGTGCAAACATAAATTTATGATTGGGTCCATTTGTATACTTACTGCAGATATAATTCAACCATAATGCAAACTAGTTTTAAAATCAATTTTTGATATTCACATTTTATTTAACATAAAAGAAATTCATACATATTATAATATATAATATAAAATTAATTGTAATAATTAATATAATATTAATATCAGTAATAAAAAATTGTTAAAAATAATAATATTAAAATAAAAATTCTAATTATAAAAATATTAAAGAAAATAAATAATTTATAATGAAACATAGTTTTTTATTTTCTTTAATATTTTTATAATTAGAATTTTTATTTTAATATTATTATTTTTAACAATTTTTATTACTGATATTAATATTATATTAATTATTACAATTTTTATTATGCTTAAAATTATTCTTATGTTTCTAATATTAATTTATTATGTTTTAATTTTTATAAATAATATATTGTTGTTATTGATAAAATAAAATAAACATTTGTTAATAAGTTTATAATTTATATCGTGCCAGTTTTCATAAAATTTTTATTTTATATTAATTTTTTAATTTATTATTATTAATATTATTCTTAATATTTGTTATTATTTTTATTTATTAATTTATTATTTTTCCTTTTATTACAATCACTATTTTTTCAATAAAGTAAAATACTTACAATCTGTTAGGGTCTTCTTTTAGACATTCGTCAATAAGGGCCTTCGAAATATTCACCCTAACTTTATTTTGCAGGCGTTTTTCGGCAATAAAAATTCTCCATATTTTGTTGACAGCCGGAATTGACTTGATGGACTCTATGTCAGTCTTTAAAGTTGAAATAACATTTGTTTTTGGGGTAAGATCCCCAAAACCACCTACGGATTCACACTCCGATAGAGTGCCACTAACTGTCGATGCTGATGCCACTGATCGAACGGAGTCTAAATGAAAATTAAATATATTATTTAAAAAAAGAAATATATTATTTAAAAAAAGAAAAAAATATTAACAGCCTGTTTCTTTATTTTGAAACGAAATTTTTTTTGTTCCGACATAAAGAAACAGGCTGTAAATCCAGTGTACTTACCTCCAAATTGCAACTCAATATGAAAAGTAGGTGTTGACATATATTGATGAATTACTTTTTCAAACTGGTCTTCTTTAATGGTTGCACCAAACACTAAGGCTGTTATTTTTCTTGAGGCATCAATTTTTAACTCTAATTTGGCTGCTTTTATAAAGCTTTGTAGATTTAAAGGCTCCGGCGCTTCGACAAATAATTTGTCTTCCCCCAAAACAGTTGGTATCAACATTTATTACAACACTTGTGACACGACGCGAAGGCACAAAACAAATAAAAAGAATAAAAAAAGAACACAACCAGAATGCCAACATGAGACACGCGCAAATGTTACGCTCTTTTGTTCTCATCAAGCAAATCGGTGTGTATGCGAAAAACGCATGTATGTATGTATGCATGAACATTAGTAAGAAGCAACGTCTCAGCAACAAAAAAACATCCAAACAGCTCTTTGTGTGTTGTTGTTGGCATTTTTTGGTGCATGGACAATAGAAAAGAAATAAACGTCTCAGCAACAGTTTCCATCCCTCTTGCCGCGCACACACCACACATAGTTACAGCAGCGATCGGCAGTGTTTGCTTGGTGAGAGCAAAAGAGCGTAACATTGGCGCGTGTCTCAAGTTGAGACACTCAAGTTGTCCATGCACCAAAAAATGCCTACTTGAGAAAGAAAACGTTACAACAACACACAAAAAAATTGACTCCTCTGTATATATGTCGGTGTTAATGCGAAAAACGCATGTATGTATGTATGCATGAACATTAGTAAGAAGTAACGTCTCAGCAACAACTAGAAAATTCACACCGCACAACAGCAACGAAAAAACATGCAAAAAGTTTTTTCGTTGTTGTTGTTGTGCGGTGTGTATTTTCTAGTTGTTGCTGAGACGTTACTTCTTACTAATGTTCATGCATACATACAACTTCTATTTACAGTTATATTTGGAAGAGAGCAAAAAATGTTTCGGTTCTGCTTTGTTGTGCGGCCAACCAAGCCAACACATCATCAACGCAAAAACAGACTTCTCACCCTCCTGTCTTCTTTTAAGTCACCTATAACACCAATTCAAAAGTAATCGAGAGCTCTGTTGTTTAGCTCTTTGAAAAAAATCCTCTCCGCACCCATAAAAAATATGTTCTAACATATAAAATATGTTGGTACCCAACAAATAAAATTGAGTTATGTTACAAAATGTTGCAAACAAATATTTGTTTGCACCGAAACAAATTATGTTTGCATCCAAAAATATATTTGTTTGCAACCAGTCCCAAACAAATATATGTTTGGATCCAAACATATTTCTAACATATATTTTTCTGCGTGTAGATATTCCCATATTAAGACCTTCTTTAAATACAAGTTAAATAATAAAAGTTTTGTGTTTATTTTATTTTTATTTATTCAGTAGTGAGCAGCGATGGCTGGCTCCTATTTGTTAATTTTGTCAAATTACTACCAAAGTATTATTTTACTTTTAATAGTGAGCAGCGATGGCTGGCTCCTGTCTAGATGACTTGCGATCGCAGAGTAAGTGTTAGTTTTTCGTTTTCATAATGTGTTGCCCACCAAACTGCAACATCAGCATTTTGCATCAAACTGCAAGCTCAGCGTCTGGCAATGCAGTTGGCATTTTTGTACTTATTAAACCTATATGTGTTAACTCCTCCCTCGTTTAAATGGAGGACGTCCCTGGACTCCCTGAGACCATCAATAACTACTTGAAGATTTTGTCGGTGTTTGGTCTTTTGACGGTTCTGGTAGGTTTTAATAAAAACATAACATACAACCAAGAATGCTATTATAACAGTCCTATTTATGAACTGTTTCTCAATGTCGTCAACATATTTTCTCTGCAAATATGGCAAACTCAAAATTTTTTCATGGCTGTTATGTTAACGAGTTTTGACACGGCTGGTTCTGGAGATTTTCTAACATAACTTCTTATGTTCCGGTATATGGAGTTATTGATCATCACCTCATTTTCAAATGTAATGAGGAAAGTCCCGATTAGTAGTTGGTCATTGATGGTAACCCTTCTGTCGTTAATGATGATGATGCCGCCATCAATAATCGATAACGATTCGAGATGGCTGGGACGTGTGGTACAATGTGCGATACCCCCTGAGTGGAGTTGTTGAGCGCAAGTTGTCGTGTTTTGTAGTTTTTTACAAAATGTTGTTGTAAATGTACCTCTGCAGTTTATGATGGGTATAATCTGGTCGCCACATTCAGCTATGTTGTTATTATTAGCAAAATTAAGGATAGTATTTTTGTGCTGAACTGGATGTATGATCCTCTTCTTACAAACTAACTTAACTTTAGGGTATTTAATTATAAAATATAAAAAATAGAATAGAACTTTAACTTGGGATACTTCCATAAGGTCAGTAACCGTAATATTGGTAAAGTGTTCATTTACAATTTTCCCCAAATCATTAGAGTCTAATATTGCGGGTTAATTATTCCGATTTATGTAAGAGTAACTAATAACATCAGGTTTTCAAGCTCGGCAATAATGATTCTATTTCGGGAAATCAAAGATTCATATAGATTTTCTGTGTTCATGTGTTCCGGTTTTGTGTTCCTTACTAAATTATTTACAGCGCCTGTTAATTCGTTTCTTTTTTCCTCCGTCCTTGTATTTATTGTTATTTGCCTATGCTCTGACTCAATGACCTCTTTATGGGTAAATTTTATATTGTGATAGTCTGGAGTGCCAGCTACAACCTTTAGCGCGGTCCCTAGAAAATTTAGGCTTCTAGCATGCCTGTGATGAATGTTTACCGTTTCTAAGAGAGTCTTCATGTGTCGTATGTCAGAGTCCAGTATCTGTTTCATATGTGACCTAGGAAAATGAATTCTCATGTCTTCTGTTTCTTTTATATCGCTGAGTACATAGATAAGTTAGTTGAGTGTTTAAGGTAATCGAAATCCTCCCAAATTAAGGCATTTCCGTCTGTTATTGGTATGTAATTTGAATTAGTGTAGTCGGTAATTTTTGCCGATATCGATACTGCGAGAAGTAGCGTTGTCCAAATCCTAGCAATAAAAAAGACAAAAAAAAAACTTTATTTTGGTTACCTTAAATTGTCTTTATGGACCACCCTCCCTTTTATTAGGACTGTGGACCCCAAGTCAGCTTCGACAGTTTCCTCTGCGTTCAAATTTGACAATTTATTTATCGAAATCCTCCCAAATTAAAGCATTTCCGTCTGTAACGGTAGCAGGGAGTTATTCCTACAAAATTGAGTTCGTCGAATTCTAAAAGCTCGTCATCTACTTCTTCGACTTGCTTTTCAGCAAACGCTTGATATTCGAATTCCTCTTGGCCAGGCGCGGTGTTGTCTGAGACTAATTGGTTAATTCTTTGTGGTTTTGCTCCGGTGTACCTAGCACTGCCATTGCTTGGTCTTTTACCCACTTGTCCCTGATTGGCATACTCATTATTTTGTGTGTTCTGCCTTTGAACATGCACCTGACTATTTTGCGGTTGTCCATAAGGCGGACTGTATTGTCGGTATTGAGTAGGTTTCCTAAATCTTGATGAGCTGTCTATTTCCATTGATTCTTGTTGGACATGTTGCCCTTGTCTTTTAACAAAATGGGGATTTTTTACTTCTGTTTTGAAGTTAGTGTACAATGTGTTGTCTTTGTTCGGAGATTTTCGTGCAAAGTTAGTTGCAAACGTGTAGCGCTCATGATTAGCTTCAACTTCTTGCGCTAATGCCAAAGCTGAAGGAAGATCAGATGTTCTAGCGGAAAAAAGAACATCGCTTAAAGACTTATTTGTTCCTAAAATGAATACTCGCAGTGCATCTGCTCTGTATTTTTCGTTCAGGGACGCGGCGACTTTGCTGTCATACGTCATTACAGTTTTATTGATGAGCAGAGTCAGTTTTTTCTCAACCTCATCATAGTACTGCAGAAGAGTCATATTTCCCTGTCGTAAAGTTGACATTTCCTGTTCTATAAGGTAAACGGGTCTTTTATCTGCACGCAAAAAAGTATAAGCCTCTCTAACATATGTCCCAAACATATTTTGCAGCAAACAAATATATGTTTGCAAACATTCCCAAACATAACATATGTTTGGGTGCTGCAAACAAATTATGTTTGTTCGGAGATTTTCGTGCAAAGTTAGTTGCAAACGTGTAGCGCTCATGATTAGCTTCAACTTCTTGCGCTAATGCCAAAGCTGAAGGAAGATCAGATGTTCTAGCGGAAAAAAGAACATCGCTTAAAGACTTATTTGTTCCTAAAATGAATACTCGCAGTGCATCTGCTCTGTATTTTTCGTTCAGGGACGCGGCGACTTTGCTGTCATACGTCATTACAGTTTTATTGATGAGCAGAGTCAGTTTTTTCTCAACCTCATCATAGTACTGCAGAAGAGTCATATTTCCCTGTCGTAAAGTTGACATTTCCTGTTCTATAAGGTAAACGGGTCTTTTATCTGCACGCAAAAAAGTATAAGCCTCTCTAACATATTTCCCAAACATATTTTGCAGCAAACAAATATATGTTTGCAAACATTCCCAAACATAACATATGTTTGGGTGCTGCAAACAAATTATGTTTGGGTCCAAACATAATTAATGTTTGGGTCCAAACATAATTAATGTTTGGGTCCAAACATAATTAATGTTTGGGTCCAAACATAATTAATGTTTGGGTCTAAACATAATTAATGTTTGGGTCCAAACATATTTTTTGTTCGGGTGCAAACATAATTTATGTTTGGACCCAAACATAATATATATTGGGGTGCAAACATAAATTTATGATTGGGTCCATTTGTATACTTACTGCAGATATAATTCAACCATAATGCAAACTAGTTTTAAAATCAATTTTTGATATTCACATTTTATTTAACATAAAAGAAATTCATACATATTATAATATATAATATAAAATTAATTGTAATAATTAATATAATATTAATATCAGTAATAAAAAATTGTTAAAAATAATAATATTAAAATAAAAATTCTAATTATAAAAATATTAAAGAAAATAAATAATTTATAATGAAACATAGTTTTTTATTTTCTTTAATATTTTTATAATTAGAATTTTTATTTTAATATTATTATTTTTAACAATTTTTTATTACTGATATTAATATTATATTAATTATTACAATTTTTATTATGCTTAAAATTATTCTTATGTTTCTAATATTAATTTATTATGTTTTAATTTTTATAAATAATATATTGTTGTTATTGATAAAATAAAATAAACATTTGTTAATAAGTTTATAATTTATATCGTGCCAGTTTTCATAAAATTTTTATTTTATATTAATTTTTTAATTTATTATTATTAATATTATTCTTAATATTTGTTATTATTTTTATTTATTAATTTATTATTTTTCCTTTTATTACAATCACTATTTTTTTTACCTCCAAATTGCAACTCAATATGAAAAGTAGGTGTTGACATATATTGATGAATTACTTTTTCAAACTGGTCTTCTTTAATGGTTGCACCAAACACTAAGGCTGTTATTTTTCTTGAGGCATCAATTTTTAACTCTAATTTGGCTGCTTTTATAAAGCTTTGTAGATTTAAAGGCTCCGGCGCTTCGACAAATAATTTGTCTTCCCCCAAAACAGTTGGTATCAACATTTATTACAACACTTGTGACACGACGCGAAGGCACAAAACAAATAAAAAGAATAAAAAAAGAACACAACCAGAATGCCAACATGAGACACGCGCAAATGTTACGCTCTTTTGTTCTCATCAAGCAAATCGGTGTGTATGCGAAAAACGCATGTATGTATGTATGCATGAACATTAGTAAGAAGCAACGTCTCAGCAACAGTTTCCATCCCTCTTGCCGCGCACACACCACACATAGTTACAGCAGCGATCGGCAGTGTTTGCTTGGTGAGAGCAAAAGAGCGTAACATTGGCGCGTGTCTCAAGTTGAGACACTCAAGTTGTCCATGCACCAAAAAATGCCTACTTGAGAAAGAAAACGTTACAACAACACACAAAAAAATTGACTCCTCTGTATATATGTCGGTGTTAATGCGAAAAACGCATGTATGTATGTATGCATGAACATTAGTAAGAAGTAACGTCTCAGCAACAACTAGAAAATTCACACC